GCCCCCCCCAGCTTCTTGTGCACCTCCTCACTGGCAGAGTATGGGAAGCTGAAAAGTCCTCGACTTAGTATAAACACTGCTTAGCAACAACTAAAACATCGGTGTGTTATCAACATTATTCTCATGCTAAATCCAAAACACGGCACTGTACCAGCTACTAGGAAGGAAATTAACTCTACCCCAGCTGAAACCAGGACAGTATAACAAATCGGTTTATTTCATAAGGGACCCGCATCACATCACTGATGTGAACTCCTTGCCTATATAGATATTTTTATTGCATCTAACTAAGCAAGGCTATACATGGGATGGAGCTAGACAAGCCGAATCCGTATGTTTAATGGGAATCTCACACAATAGCCACTACTTAGAACTGCAGCCCTGCCAAAACACGGGAGAGAAACCTAACATTACAGGTGTAAGCTCCCGCGCTGGTGAAACCAAACGTGTAGAAATCCTGACAGGAACACAGTGACGTCCCAGAGATAACTGGGTAGCAATATACACACTACCTAAAAATAAGTGCATGGAGAAGAGCAAATATACTTTCAGAGCAGTAACTTAGTTTTATTAAGCTAATTGGGATAATTGCATTGTCTATTCTTCTTAATATTCAGCTTTAAAGTCAGAAAAATGAAATGTATCTTATTTTGTGTTTAGGCCAGTTCACGCTCGGCTAAACACAGATGAATACAGAGAAGCCATTAGTTCAGGTATCTGTTTAAAGACATCATACAACAAACTGATACTTAAGATTCTTAATCAGAGCCAGATTTGGATGAGTAGAAAGAATGATCAAAACCAGTACAAAACAGATCGAAACTGTATCTTGTCTACTCTTACCTACATTTTCTCTCACTGACTTAGGGAAAAAGTTTAGGTTATCGTTTCTTTCATACCTCCCCTGCAACAAAGCACTTCTGTCCTTTAGGTAAAGCGGTATTCATCATTACAATTAATGTTTTCTCTATTTAATAAGCAACACATAACTATAAAAATAAGACACTTAAAATACTTGCTTAGTTTGCAAAGAGAACACTAAAATACAGGTTAAATACAAAATGAGCCATCTCTAGTGAGGTTCTTATATCAGGCTATAAAAAAAAAAAATACTGTACAATCAGAGAGCTTGCAATAAGCACAGCAATCTGTCCAACATATGCAGAGGGTGGAGAAGGAATGTGACCTTGACTGAGGGAACAAGGTGTGCTAATAAATATGACAGGGCAATGCTGAAACATAGGAGAACTGCTAACAGATGCAAAACACATCAGTCTTTTCCGTTTTCTGTCCCATTTTCAGATCCCTTGAGTAGTTGTCTTTTCCTCCACTACCTTTTTCAAGAGTATCAGCACTGGAGTGACATCCAAAACAAAGTCTTGCTGGCAGATACCAGCTGGAGTCTAGCCAGGAAGTTTCCTTGGTCAATTAAATACTCTCTCTCCTCCTCTTGTGGGTTGAGCTTGCAGTTAGAGGAAAAGTTGCAAATAAAATATTTTGTTCGCTTCTGGCATATATTTTCCCTTCGACTAGTTCTCTGCGGGTACACAAGCTTACATTTACAGTGGTTTTATTGGCAACATCCATCTCCCTTTCGTATTTTCCTGTGGCATCATACATCTTTTTACCCACAGGATGATCTCTTCCAACAAATGCAGGTGGCCAGGAATTTCTGTTTCCTGGCAATGCTAAACAACTGCAGAAACCTTACACTTCAGTACACCCAGAGAGTTGAAGTTTTTTTAATGTACTCTTAATTTACAACTCCTGCTTTGGTTGGACTAGAGACTTGCTTTCTCCTTTCTTTCCATTTGTCGTTCTTTCTTCCCCTTGTGCTCAACATGTTTCCAGAACTTCTAATTTACTTTGTCCTGCAGAGAGCTTCACAGGACCTTTCAATTTCCAGATTAAATTCCTAAATTATTTTGGAGCACAAGTCTATACACTTCTTTTTGTATCAATGCATATTCAAAAGCTGGTAACACTGTAACCTATGTAGCTATGGTTAGCATTAGCAGAGTTCAAACTCTATCCCAGGCATTTCCCAGCCATCCCCTTTCCTAGCCAGAAGGAACCCGCAAATCTTTTGAGACACTCAAAAAAGTCTGTGTGAGGAAGGCGGTATGAAGAACAAGCTGATGGTCAATCTAAAATTGTAGAGGTCTCCTGAAAACCAACATTTTAGAAAGTGTATAAGCAGGTCACGTAGCGCCTAGCCATTTTTAAGATGAAATGGGTGTGCAATAAAAGAACTAGCAAGCAGGCAGTGTTGTAAAAGAGGAAACATTTTATAAATACAAGCATAAAGAGTTATTAGAATTTCATGAACTGCATTCCAAGGACTTACATCGTAAATTAATTCCTACACTACCACATCAGTAGGCAATGAAAACCAAAAGAGAAAGAATGGGATGTCTTTGTCTTCCAGGTCTCTAAAGAAAAATGCAGCTGCCATTTATTTCTCCCAAATAACTTCTTCCACTTCACAATCTAAGCGGACTATAGGGTTTGATTACCATGAAGACAACAATTCACCCTTGCCTTTAATTTTACCAAGGAACTGCTGTAAGATGATATTCCGAACATACATAAACCCTTTTGATACCACAAAAGCCAATGAAAGCTTGGTTGTTCACCAGCATCACTAGCATCACATTGCTTTGGCAACAAGAAGCTGTTAGCCATCTAATATTCCCTCTGGGATCCCAAGAATACTGCTGTAGTAACAAAATATTTGCTGTTTTTATAAAGACATTTCTCTATCTTTCTTAGCAAGAGTGGCAGCTTAAAAGCACTATCTTTTGCAGGAACAGAAAGAATCAGTTCTTCCCTACCAGTTAAGGGCAGTTTTGAAGCAGGTCAAATTATTACCCAAACGATTTTAATTGGTTAGTGATACCTTCAAGCCTTTACACTCCTTAACCTTTTCCTTTGTCTATTGTTTTGCATCTAGGTATTTCATAGAAGTCAGCAGAACATTAAGACCTGGAGTACATTCAAGAAGAAAGACTGGGTGTCCATTTGAGTACATTTGACTGCAGAGTCATTAAAGGCAAATAAATAGGAGAGGAGAAAGGACAGACGAACACCAAAAGAAATAGGATAGGAAAGACTAGTTAGTTATTTGGCAACTATCTAACGGTGCATGTCTTCCATTTAAGCTATCAAGCTATTTGATCATGGGGTGCATGAGCACACCTGGATGCCAATCACCAACATTGTGCAGATGCCTGAACAAGATACACTTCAGAAAATAATGCACCTGCTTCCTGCAGTGTAAATATTCAGAGTGACACAAACGTGCAGTATTAAAACTCGCTTATCTTCATATTCAATATTCACCCACCTTCAAAGGTTTATAAGCACAGTTACTAGTCTTTCATCTATCCCCAAGAACCAGTCAGCTGCATTGAGAGGATGCAAATTTTCTCCTCTCCTGCTCCCTTTTCAGTCTCATTCCAGATGAAACATCTTGCTTTAAGGGATTATAATACTAAGGGGAAAAAAATCTCATTTTTAAGGTCTGTTTCTAAAGAGCAATCATGTATCTGTTTGCCTAGAAAAAAAAAGAGCCCAACCAATATTTATTTTATATGAAAGGGAGGTCTTGCAAAGCTGTAAGATTATGAATTGGTACAACCCAAGAATGGAACTGAAAGAACAAGACTGTTCTTATTGGGCCAGTTTCAGTATTTTACCACAGCTAAAAAAAAAAAAAAAAAAAAAAAAAAGGTAAAGCCCTACTTACTAGATCTAGTTCTAACAAGCAAGACACATTTTTTAAGTGTCAAGAGATACAGTACCATATGACTTCTATGTCCCAAAAAGCTACCCTAAGAGAAGTATAATCCGTTTTTGTAGTTCCCCAGAAAAAAACCACAATGTGCTTTATCTTCCAGAGCCTCCAACCTTGAGATAGTAAAAAACTTTGTGCCAGTTTGTTTACTAAGCTCCAAGCCTGCCCTGAAATTATGACACAGCTATTCTCTACAGCTGATTTTTACTGCACATGTTCTTTCCAAGTACTCTAATCAATGGCACTTTTGTTAGAATTGGTCAAAATTCCAACAGAAAATGCTTTCATTATAAAAACACAAGCTCAATTATACTGATCTGACTTTTTTGTAAGCAAAAATATCCCACTTTCTGAACTTAATCCACTGATTTCAAATTAGATGCTTCAAAAACATTATTTGGTTAGAAAAGTGACGATCCAGTACAATTACAAGGTAAAGACTTTTTGAAAAATGCCAGAATTTTCCCACAATCCAAGTAATGAATTTTAGTGAACACCAAGTTTCAACTTCAGAGTCTTTGAGGCTAGTCTTTTCCCCCCCCTCTAAAAGTCATGATGATTAGTTAACTTTAATTTCATGTGACATGAAACTTACAAGTGCCTGTTCTTGTTTTCTTTCTGTGCTGAACATAAGCAAATGTTTATTGACAAACCAACATTTCCCAACAGATCATATTACTACAGATTTATGCAATCCTACTGCTCAAATAATCAAAATACTGACCAATAAGAAGGCTCTTCAGTCTTCTGTATTCTTCATTTACATCAAACATGTCACCAGCAAATATCAACATAGGTTTTGTTCCTTCAGGACATTTACTGTTCTGCGGAATAAGAATTTTAAAACAGAATAAAAATTCAGGCCGTGTCAGGGAACATATTATTGCCTTAATAGGTGGTTAGCCATTCAACATTGAATGAAAAGTTGTTGTGACCTGTGATCAATATGGACAGAATAGACACATTTTTTTTCATTGAACAACACTGTATGCGTATGGAAGGACTTTGTTTTTAAAAGGGTGAATTGTGTTATTCTTTGTGCTGGATTAAAAAAGAGAGATTCTTCACTATAAAATGTATAAGATAACACCTTTCGGTGAAAACGAGTGAATTTGACTGCAACTACTAATAAAAACCCTAAAATTAGAGGCAGACAAGTCTATTGTACTTCTGACACTGGAGAGTACATGAAAAAGGCTAAAAGAATAGTTTAGTCAATCACCGAATTAAAATTCTGGCCAACAAATACATTTACTTAACTACAACTTCCCTGCTATAAACAGTGTTATGAAGATACACACTACAATCTGACGACTTCAAGGGGAAGATTCACCTTTATAAACCATAATTTCTTCACTATCCCTCTAGACTGTCCTGCCAATTTATACACTGTGATGAGAATAAAGACCATAAAAATTCCTTATTTGTGCAGTGTATGAACTGCTTGATACAAAAGTACACACATATGAAATATGTTTTAGTCTTGCCAAAATGAGCCTAACACAGGTGAATATTCTCTGGGTTTAAATAATCAAGATGTTAGCTCCCCATCTGAATTAAGTATGGTTCCCTGAAAACTGGCATTTACGTGCTACTGAAAGCTAAAGAAAGTTTCAGAATCATCTCAGTCAGCAGAGTGACCCCCTTTAGCTATAATTTGAGAAGAGGGATTCCAGTTTTCAAAGCCTACACCAGTTTATATAGGAACCTACCATGAGCAGAACCTGACTAAGGAATTTTGTAAATGTAACTAATTAAAAAGGAAAACATTAGGAATAAACCAAGTCTAAAAAAAGAATTTGCAAAGAAAGTTGCAAGCTTGCTCAAAACAACCAAAATAAAATAAAAAGCAGAGCATAAAAAACCTCAACATTCTGGGGTACACAAATTAGCAATCGTCACATACGGCATGAAACGCTTTTGTAAACAAATCCTGTCCTTCAAAGCACAGAAAAAGCCAATGCACCAAAAAAATCCACCAGTAGATGTCACTGAAATACCGAATTAGCAATTCCTTACCTTGACATCTTTTAGGGATACAAACTTCTCAATGCCTAGCTCAATCATGTCTAGGACGTGATAGTCAAACATGCGACCTGTGAAAGTAAAAAAAGAAAATCCAGCTATTTAAATATTCATTGAAAACTAGTCCTTTCATCCAAATAAAAACCCAAGTGAGACATATTACCTATTATCAGGTTGTTAGGCCGCTTCTTGTTATGAGAGCCAAACAGAAACAAAGAACAATCTGATTTCTTGGAAAAAAATTCCTACAATTGAGGAAAAGAACAAAACTCATGAGTTCCAGTTTGTAGTGTTTAAAATATTTGGTGAAGGTATACGTCACAAACACGTGAGTTTAGGAGCTGCTTAACTAGAAGAGCAACTGCACTTAACAGAAGAGTTTTGAGCACGTCCAGGTCCACATAAGCTAAAATTGACAGCTGGATTCAAGGTTCAAATAACAATTCGTTTCCTTTTTTTATTTCCCATTGCAGTCTTAAAGATCAAGCCAGGTAATTTTTTCTTGTCGTTTTTATCTGTAATGCCCTTTTTCATAATTCCTCATTATTTGTTTTTACATAAGATACCTTCAACCACTTCTCCTTGCCTGAAGAGTAAGTATTTGCAAGTTGGCTGCAGTTGTAATGCCTCATTTTAGTTACCCAGCTAAGCTTCATGCAGCATATTAGCTTTGCCTAACAGCTTCTTAACAATCAGTTAATTCCCTCCACAGCAAGCCTGGGAACATCTGCAAATATCTAATGTTCTCACACTTGGGCACGAGAGTCCTACTACAGAGCAACTTCATGTCAATTTATTATTTAAGAACAAGATGCTACTTAAAACCAAGCCAGTGGTGACTATCATAGAGAAGATCTTTTCTCCAGGTGGAGTAGATAGAGAACCTATCATGGTATTATGTCCAGAGCCAACATTAAAGCAATTCTTTCTGAGGACGTCCAACTCCAAAGCCTTTTTCTGCACTGCTGCTTCTCAAGACAGCCCCTCTTTCTGTGTATCAACCATAGTTCCCAGATATACACACACGCTATTTATCCAGTACTTCCCAGAAGTACCAGAGTTTCTACACCTACACTTAGCAGTTATGAAGCAGAAAAAGCCACTGCATCTCCTCCCACCCCTGCAACAGCAGCAGCTCAGAGAGGACGTCGCAGCTCTGCCCTTCTGGGAGGTCAGGAGAGACACCCCCAGGAGCAATCCTAGGTTGGATTAATTGCACGTACAAGTCCCACAGCTCAGCACTGAGCTCTGCCACCAGGTCCCTGAAAAGTACTGACTGTAGACAGATCAAGAACAGAACCATACCCTTGAAACACTTGCTCATACAGCTCTGTTAATCACTGCGTGTTGATATATGTAAATTGTCAAACAGCTGTATGATATTTTATTAAAAAGATGCAACAAACTCAAATGCCTCAAATGTGTTCAGCGTATACTGCGACATCCCATACATTGCAAAATTGCTCTTTTAAAAAGATGCCTGTAACCAAAAAAACCCAAACTAACTTGACTTCACTTTCCATATCTTTCTAGGCTCTGATTATTTGTTGACACTGTTCTCAATGACCCAACCCTATTGTTTTGAGGTTACAAGAATTAAAGTTCCCTGAAGGACCCCCTTTTAAAATATCAGAATGATTTTAGCTGCCATGTTTTCCCAGAAATTATCAGAAGTTTAAACCAGTGGTCAGCTAATAATCAGCTAGTTCCTATATGACTGTGAAACCAAGTCATCCAGCTATGGGATTGTAAGAGGTTTAGTTTCAGCAAATAATGCTGCAAATCTTTCCTCACTGCCTACACTAAGTTTGCCATTCCACTGACGATATTTTAGGGACGGCTGCATTACTGCGCTTCTTGCCAAGAACAGAACAGAAGCACATACTACAACATCTCAGCATCAGATTTAATGCAGATTAAGTAACTTTCTACCTTGGTGTATCTATGCTGCAACCACAATGATTTTTTGTTCCTAACACATTAAAAATGCTTTAACTCCACTGTCCAATACAACTTCAGCAACTCCTCTAGCACTCACTATTGGCTGCCTTCACTTTTTTAATCATTAATGATTAATCATTTTTAATGATCATTAAGGATCCTTAGCTATCTCTCCCCTCCTCTCCCTTTTTATTTATGGAGAATTCCTTAGATAAGTTTCCCCTTTATTTTCACAATCACCTTCAGACAAGAAAGTGCGTTTGTGCCTGGTGTGTACACATGAATTTTTTTTTTTTCTTCACACATGGATTTACTTAATACAGCACCCCCAAATTCCCAACTTCAGTGTGCATTTTCAGTTAGTTATTTCAACAACTGCCTCACGTGTTGGAAAACTGACCCTTATCTCCCTATGTGAGTCAGCAGTGGCACAGAGCAAACATTACCAAATCATGATCACTGGGAACCAAACAACTTATTTTGGGATAATTAATTTTTGTCTTTATTGTAAAACCACAGCTGTACATCACTATCTCCTTTCTCTCATTTTGTTGAAGGAAATATATATATTCCTTTTATGACAGACATATTTCAGCAGTTAAAGTAATGCTTCGACTGAAGTGCAAAAGTGTGAGATGTAATCTTAGGATTAGCCCCTCTATTTTTTGCCTTCCTGCTCATAAATAATCTTGACCTTAAAGCACTGAATCAACACCAAATCCAGACGGGGGCATATCACCAAATGTATTTCCAAACACACACACCCTTCCAAAGTACCCTCCAAGCCTCTGAAGAGCCACTTTTGCAACCTCTTTGCAGGCCAAATACACATATTTAACTGAAATTGCGCATTTTTCTGACAGTTCTTGACTGCATGTGGGAACAGAACTCCCAGCGACCATCTCACACTTGCACAGCTGATGCATGTGTTTGCCTGTGGTACTCTGCTGGGCTTTCTTCCTCTATTCAAACACGAGGAACTCACAGAAAGCTATGACCCCGACATTTAACTATTTTAACCTATGAATTCACCAAATTGAAAACAAGTTGTTCATAAGCTATGGCACTTTAGAGGACTGACTTTTAGAAAACCAAAATAAAACACTTCATTCTTCCTTTCATATCAAGCACTGTTACTTATAATAGTGTTACAGACTCCTGCATTTGCCTGTCTGTTTACAGAAACATGCATTTAAGGTAAAGACAAAGTCCTCACAACATAACAGTTGTCTTGCAGCCAGAGGAAAAATATGCCTACCGACGCCATAAATCTAGACATAGCCCTACCTTCAACTTATCCAAACTCCCTGTAAACTTTGTTTCTCATCTAGTTCCTCACAGAGTAATAGTAAATTATCCTCCAACAAAGTTCTTCATGACTTCAAGGCTGTAAAACGTCACAAGAGAAGACGCGGTTTATACTTACCAATGATGTTTGATCCTCAAAAGGCCTAGTAATATTTTTCCTGAGAGGAGGAAAAAGAAAGGGGGGAAAAAAAAAAGATTGAAAAAAGAACAGGCCCAGATAAGCACTTCTAATTAGTTCTCTGGTAACATTCAAATTCTGCATTCTACTAGAAACTCCAGCAGTAGAGGTTCAGTTTTAGTTCAAATCATAAGCCATATTAATACTGCCAGGAGTTCCTTAGTGCCACAATTGCCATTTTAAGTACTTTCCTCCATGTTTCCTGTCTCCTGGGGCCTGACTTCCAGACCACCGCCAGTGACACTTCATAAGCAACTGCCTTCACTTGTTCATCCAATGTTAAATTTAGCTGTTACAATTAATGTCTCTGCACTACATCCATACAGATACTAGGTTCCCATTTTTAGCAAGACGTATCTATCATTATAATCTGTAACTCAAATTTATAAGAATTCAGATATAAGAACTCCAGCCTACCCACTGGACACAGAACCTCGCTAGCTGTTTGCACAGATGAGAGTCAGAGAAGCCAACTGTTCAAGTTTGCTGAATCCTGCTCTGTAACACTTGGCACAGAGCTGGGCTCAGCACCAACACTGATCACGTGTAGCTTGTTTCCAGTCCACTGAAACGTATGATGAATCTCAGACACCTTCTGCAACCCTTTCCATTGTTCAAGCCCTCATGCCAGCCAGCATCTCTATTCATGCTTTGAAATTACCAAATGCTGTCTCATCAGAAGACTCAAAGGTGTCAAAGTGAGACCACTTACTTTTTATACAGTACAGCAAAAGGCTTCTTCACAGCATACTGCAAAAGACAGTTAAACACGTGTTATCTCTAATACATTCAAGTACGCAGCATTGCTTTTTCTAAAACCCTACAACTTACACAATCATGTGAAATAGAGTAATTGTTTGTGCAAGTCAGTCTAGAAAAGAAGTCACTTCAAAAGGTCTGCTTGCAATAATACTCTTCAAGTTAGTAGTACTAATCTTGGTTCCAAATCAATTGCAGAAGGACTTATTTCTAGAAACCAAGAAACAACAAAGTAACTGAGAAACAGCTGAAATCAAAGCCACGTAATGGAATCTCTGCTTCTAGTGGCATGAGGAAAACCAGGGGGTGAACAACCACCTCATTATCATCAGCATAAGATGGTAAGAAAATGACAAAGCAAAGAGAGAAAAGAGTGTAGGAACAGCTACAATATTTTCAGGTATAGAGTTAGGAGACAGGATTGTAATTTTAAGTTTTGGGAGAGGCTGAAAGCTCCATATCAATACACACAAGCAGTTTACAGGATTCTGGGATATGACTTCAGCTGTGTGATCCATGATCCAATTCTGTACATAATTCTCTTGTTTTCAAATGGACTTGCAACACTTCACCTTATATACCAGACAACCATGGAAAAAAATAATAATGAAGAGAATAAGCTCAAAACTTATGGCAAAGAGGAAATAGGGGGAAAAAAAAAAAATCTCTTTCGAGGGGTACGTAATAACACCTTTGGAATACCAGTCAATCTGAAATTTGGGGAACAGAGAGAGTATGAAAATAATCGATCTTGTGGCAGACAATATGCAAACTGTAAGAAAAAGAGAAAGGAAGGTACCCTTGGCATAGCACAAAAGGTAGTACAATTAAAGGTTGCATACGTATGTCCAGCGACTTACAATGTCTTTAAGCACTTCAGTCACTGTTAAGTTCGCATTTCCTCCTTTTATGAGCATAGCATTTTTTGTATTTTCTTTAAGTTTGGGTTCTCTCTTCTCAAGAAATCTTTTTGCTCTCTTAGTTTTAGGCTTTCTGTAACAATAAATTAACAGTTAAAAACTTAATATTAGTAACAACACCCGACACCGCAGAAAACAGTAAAACAAAACAAGAATTGGAACAGGCTGTGTTCAAGTAACTTGTTTCAGCGACTCAAACTAATCCCAACCCGCAGAATTACAATCAGTGCTAGAAGCCCGGTCTCCGATGAACGTGTTTGACTGCCACTCCTCTTCCTCTCTGTCCCCCCAAGCCAGCAAAAGTGATTTTACAGTCTTGGGCTTTTCAGTTTCTGCTAATTTAGAGCTTAAGCTATATCAGAATTCCCACAGACTACTGACAGGCTGAAAGCTTCCCTCACACCAGCTCCCTCCCCAAGTCAGAGACTCGCATATGAGAAGAAAACGAAGTTCCTCAGAGACCACCGATGGCATCCAAAAGAAAAGCTCAGGTACGGCGCATCTGGCGGTACGAAGCAGAGAGCAGTACCGTGCATTATTTAGGTGAAGTACACCAGCCTTAGCAGGGGCACAGAGCTTATATAAATTAAGAACTACATGGCTTAAGAACTACATTCCTCCACTAGATGAACGTAAAGTTTTTAGTATCTTCTCCGAGAAGCGTTATGTTTACTTTCTTTTAAAAAACGAACAAACAAGAACCCGCACACAGGTACTTCCAACTATAGATGAAGATAGCTCTTTCAAGCGTACAGAAATACATAAATTCAGCACCAGCTGGTCACCACGGTCCCTTTAAGTTACCAACTGAGCGAGGGCCACCAAGAAAGAGACGGCAGCGCCCCGTTTCCCTCCTTCCCGCTCGTTTTCCGTAGGCCTTTTCTCTCCGCCGGCCTCCCCCCTTGCAACCCTCCC